CATCTCAATCTGCTAGGCAATCTTCAAATTGTCAGAATCAGCAATTCGCCCAGGGCCTCGTCGAAGACAAACCTCTTTTGCGAGAGCTTAACAATCCAATGTCAGTGGATATAATTGATGGTGCCATGAATCAGTCACCCGGTAGATTATGCACCTTCCCGCGCTCCTTAGTCGGGTCAAACATACAAGACGGTATGGCTCAGACTCAAAATGTTTTAAGTCTCAACTCTTCAAACTCGAAAGAATTTTCATATGCCCACGAAGCACGGGATTTCGATGCAAACGGTTTGTCTTTTATTTGTCTTATGGCTATTAGAAAAGCGTTTATCTGGCGGAAAAAACAGCCGCAAGTCCCCTCATAACGCCATCGAGAAAAGGTACAGACAAAGCATTAATGGCAAAATTGACGAGCTACGCGATCTTCTTAATGCCAATTGCAGTGATGATCTAAAGGTAACCGCGGAACTTTTTATCCCGATCTCATTTCTGACCTCGTGCCCATTTATTCCCTCATACTTGTCAGTATACCCTCCCATTTCTACAACCTATAGTGTGTGCCGATTTTGCCTTCTTAGATATTTCGTGTACAACCATCGAATTCCGATTTCGTGAACTTTGCACGTTTTCTTAGTATGCTTATTTTTACCATTGCCTACTTTCAGGCTAGAAACATTACGTGCTTCATTGCATGAATTTTAATGTAGGCTTCATTTTGCAGACACCTATGGTATTTTTTGCTGCCAACATTTCTTATTAAGCGTCGGATTGTCTCCGCTCAGCTGTCGATTTTTTAGTTTGATTGCCGTTGAGTACTATCTTTCATTTAGCCGTCTCAGCCACGTCCCGCCACATCATTCCCATATTTATTCGTTTAGAGATAAGGGCCTTATTTAAGGCTTTTGCCTACAGAGTCTAACTACATACGAAGTTTAAACTAAGTCTTAAATTTCAAGCAGGAGCCTTCATTTAGTTCGTTGCTCCAAGTCCAGACATATTTTTTTGGTTGTTTTACAGCGTTCGCATTCGTGTTTTCCAATGAAAACATGCAGCACCGCCTTTCATCGTGAAGTTTTCGCCCTCTTACTGATCGAAAATCAACTCGTCTTTGTGGCTTAAACTGCCCCTCCTCGTAGATTAATGAACTACCCCACATGAAGTTTCGCTAATTATAAAGATCTACAGAATTTGTATTCAAATGAAGATTATCTCTTGCACAGACTGGTTAAGTTCATGTGAATTAGTGCACTTTTAGATTTACGAAACGAAGTAGACTAGAGCATAGCTTAGACCACTCACCTCCGAGAACGGAACTAGACTCTAGTCTCTGGAAATTAACGGAAACTACCCCTCAGTGGGTTGACATTTGTCAAGTGTTGTGTTACGAAACAGTCTCGGCTTCAGCAATACGTCAAGTAATCAATTTGTTCACAAACTGTTCTGTTATGACGCCCAGTGTCACTAATGGTCGCCTTATATTTCGATAAACGTGCCCGAATGCTGTGGTGAAGTCAACAGAGCAGACCACCATCAGCTGCTGACGGCAATTTTAGTGGCCAGGAATGCTTCACAGTCTACTGCATTTCAATCTTAGCCATATACTACTGCCACCTCCCTTGTCTTGGTATAATTAGGAGGACAGGGTTTTTTGCCTTCAGTCAGGTTTAACATGTTTGTGTGATGAGTAGCGGGTTTTCGTGGATCTGTTTTAAGGAGGATGTTAGGACATCCGAATATATTTTTGTCAACTGCTTGTGTATTTAAGGTGGGGGTAGCTTTTGATGTCCTTGTGGAAAATTAATGAACAGGAAGCACTCGTCTTTTATAGGTGATCTTGGGCGAGGAAGTAGGGCAAGTCGCGGGACCGCTGTATGCGTGTGTAGACCTGGATTTCGCAAACGGTACATCGAGTGTCTCCTTTTAGGATCCCTAGTTCGTACCGTAAACGCGATGGCACTATGTAAATTGGCATTGTGTGCTCCCTTCTGGCCTGATTCACATTGACCGTGTCGCATAGATTCAAAGATTCGAACAACTAGCGCACCAGTGGCAGAATTTGCACAGGTGGACTGCAATATTTTTATACAGAAATGTCCTGGCCCGAACCTTGTGCTCGCACTTCGACCGGGCGTCGTACGGAAAGGGAAAGGAGTGGATTCGATAATTGCGATGTTCGTCGGTATAGGGTCGAAAGTGTCGGTCGGGCCGCGATGGATGCAACTTGTGTCCGCAAAATAATTTTGAACCGTTGGCGGTAAAGACACGTTTGAAACGAGTATTTGCCCTCATCGTCGTCTCGTATTCCCGTTTTGATTTAATGATTCACCGAAACCTCTTCTATTCGATTTCTTTCTTTGCACCTTTTCGCCACGCCTCCCGATCCTGCTTGGGGATCTTTCAGGGCTCCTATGTGATTCTCATAAATTTTAGCGAGGTTCCTAAGGCGGTTTTATAGTATCCTTTCGATCATTCTTGAAGTTACTTGTAGCAACATGATTAAACTATCAATAACAATGGTGTTCAGCGTAGCGGTTGATTCCAGAACCCAAGTGTCTGGAGTTCCTTCCCGTCACTTCGCTTTCAGTAACGTCAAGCAGCGGCTTGGGTCGTAATGATTGAGTCTTCCTGGTAAGTTTTGACAGCGTTATAGGTGCGCTGGAACAACACAGGAGCTAGATCAGGGCGTGACAGGCGTTATTAAAGTTACGCTCCTATAACAAATGCCAACCATGGAGGGCGTGGTTGCACGCGTAGGTGCAGGCTCATTCCGCGCTAGCCACCTGCGTGTGATCCCGCCTCCGGTCTCCTTGATTTTGTCTTGACACAGGACACAGGTGGGTGAGGAAAGCGAGCAAGAGTGTGATAGCTGCGGTGAAAGCCTACTATCACTTAAACTTAATCTGCGCGTAAGTCACCGTCCCTGCACCACCCTGCTGTAAAGCCTACGGTGGATGTGACAGTCGAACGCCGTAGAGGAACATGTTTAAGACGCCAGCTCGCCATGTTGTAATATCGCCTTGACTTGTCCGTATCTGCTTATCTGTCGGATCAAAAAAAACCTGAATACCTTGCGCCAAACCTCCAGTGAAGACCGTTTCACTGTCTACCGCCAGTGAACCTCCTGGGTAGGTCATAGTTTGGCA